TCATGGCTTGGTTTGTATCCCATATTGTACAAGGAGATGTATCTCTTCTGATTTAATTGACGTAATTCGTTAGTAAAGTAAAACAGGTTGTCCTTTTTTTTTTTTTTTTAAAAAAAAAAAAGACAATAATAGCAATACATATTTTTGCATGAACAATGCATAAAGTTAAGAAGATAACCACGTATCGTTCATTAAAAATAAATAAAAAGTTTAAAAAAAGAGCACTTTGAGGTTCACACCTTTTGGTGTAGCGCATCTAAAGTTAATGACGATATTTTAAGCCATTTGAGCCATTCATTCATTCATTCTTTCTTTCTTTCTTTCTCTTTCTCTTTCTCTTTCTCTTTTATCTTGTATGAAAAAAGACTGCCTCTTTAGTACTGATCAAAATAGTGATCTAGAAGAACTTCCAGTTAATGGACATATATTTGAAGGGCATTTGTACCTCAAAAGATATGATGGAAAATGGACGTGGAAATTATTTCGATTCGATGGTTCATCCTTAATATGTCTGTCAACAAAAAAGATCAAAATACAACCCAATGTGACATTAGGATCCCATCAAAATAACTCTGCAACATCACTTTTATTAGCGACACCAAAAGATAAATCGTCAAGATTGCTGACAGCTACCGATTTATGTAAGGAACCCAGTTATTATCAGTTACCTAAATGGACGCTCAATGTTTGTGACATTTCATCCATTGCCATTTTAAAAAGGAGCAACTACAAACACGCTTTCTTTAAAAGCAAATCAAACAGTTTTTGTATAAGATCATCTGACGGTCAATGCTATGTGATGAAGGCGCGAACATTAGATGAACTAGAACGATGGGTATTTGTACTATCTAAAATGTGGAAATTATCTCAACTTTTACCATCATCGTCATCGTCATCGTCATGCAACCCTCCTTTAAGGAAGGCATCTGTACCACAAGGGACATTCAATCATAGTTCAGTCATTATACCCCCAGCCACTACCACCCCACCCAACACTACACAATGTAAACCAGTCAGAAAGGCTTTCCTTACTGCAGAAAAGATTTCTTTTATAGAAAATTGGTTAAGCTCCGTGAATGAACAAGTATACCAATCCGACGATTGTGAAAATGGACTGCAGAAAGGCAGCAAGTCGTTTACACATAAGCATCTCAGTTGTATAGAGGAAATGCCTAACCCAAATAAATTACTCTTCAACTTTTTTCAAGATGCGAATACAGTGTATACTGATGAATCAGAGACACATAGTAAGAAATATACATACTCCTCATTAAAATACCATGGTAGTACACGTGCATGTCATGTCAAATTGATCAAGAGCGATTCAACCCCTTCAATACCTTCCAAAACACGCATAGTACATTCACTACCAACAGTGTTTATGCACTCTCCTCTAGAGCTCTTAAAATCCGCAACAAGCTTTGAACGCCACATCAAGAATGATGGAAGTAAACATCTGACTGAAATGCTTGGAAACATAAGACTAAACCAATAATAAACAATATCCTTTCTTTGTTTTGTTAAGCCTCTCTTTTACTCTCTATGAATAAGCACAAAGAAGCCGAGTACGCCCAAGACAGCATATTTCATCCATGCATAGTCGTTCATCATGATTGTCACCATGCCAACATAAGGCAAGAAGCTATTTTTAATCTTAATATCTTTGATAAACAACTTGTGTTATTGCACGTACCCCTTTACTTTTCCAACAAGATGCTCTTTATTGATCCACATTTGCCCTCTGTCATACAACACACGGTCGTCTCTCGCGTTATTATCTCCTTTTGTCAAGAGATATTCTTTTCCGGTTTCGCTATTCAATTTGATGATATGAATACAGATCATTGTTATATAATTAATATTATTATTATTACTCTTGATGAATCTTTAAAACTCTATGAACAATAGGGATATCGCGTCCGGGTAACTTGAAAACACATATATCATTGATGGCTACATTGTCATTTCTTGGTAACGTAAGGAACAATAAATCACCGCGATGAAATGCAGGTTCCATACTTCCACTATAGTACATACAAGTTAGTTCGTATCTTTTATAGACTATATATATCTAAGTAACCTCAAAACTACAACGATAGGACTCTCGGTATTTGTTACAAGACCTAATCCTTTCCAGACCATAAGAGCAGTTGCTCCGATGGTTAAAATGTTGAGTATCTGTAATGCGATCTAATCATAAACTGTGTAAAAAGAAGGTATTGTTCGTACTTTTTATTGGCATATTAACCTGACGCATATTCATTCTACGAAGTTCGCCAAACATTGCTATTATTTATTTGAAAGAAAAAGGTCGAATAGCATGTTGACACTCTAACATTTTATTTAAGGTCCAATTAAATGATTGTCCGCCAGCTCAATAAACTTTAATTTAAGGAGAAACCAAGCGTGTTCTATATTCGCTTGTCCAGAGAGAAAGATACTTAGAAATTGTCATGATATACACGAAATTCTTTCAAGCAGAAAAAGTCAACTGTCGCTTTTTCAAGGTTATTTCTCTCTTTTCAACTCTACCGACAAAAGAAGCTAAACTCTCTAATACTGTGGCTCCATCATCAATTGAACGATTTTTTTTTTTTTTTGAAAACGATGGCCATATTTTAGAGATTAGTTTGACTCGAAATGGAGAGTGTTTTATTCAGGACAGTTTACTAATATAGAGGATAAGATTACGAATATGCCAGCATGTACTCCTTACTAGTCTCAACAATTCTTGATCCGAATACTTTTACATAGTTGAGGCTAGGGAGATGGGAGGGAAGGTATCACTGTTAAGCATGTGCAAAACGTTGGTGATCTGATTTGAAATTAAACTTGGTCGACTTTGGCTATGCTCTGACTTCATTATTGGTATAGCGTACGCAAAAGCGGTTATACGTGTTGACTATTTGCTTACAGGTGTCCAATTGGGAAAGAAGTCGAGGAAACATTTCGATAGACATAAACACCTCAATACGATCCAGATATATGAAAGGATAAAATCCTTCTGCCTCTAGAGTACACAATGGAAAAGTAACATGGGCTCCTATTGTAATCGAAGTTGAAAAGTTCTTCCCAAAGTTCTTCCTTCCACATTGGTTCTTTATTTATTGAATATACCTTTTTTTATAAACAGATCCACCTATTTGCAGGGAAAAGATAAATTAGCTCAATCTTATAGCTCATTATACAATCATCATACATTGTTTCGCAAAAGTGATTCTTGAGGCTTTATGATGCTGTTTGGGACATTGTAGCTTTTTTTTTTTATTATTAACTGTGCCGTGTAAATTAATGTTCTATACTAACTAAGAGGCGGTTGCAGGTGTACGGACAAAAAGGATAAAATAAAATACAAGTAAAAGGGATAGCAGTTCAGATAAAATAAAAAGGAGGAAAAGGAAACAAAAGGTTAATCAAGATCGTCTTCCTGGGCGAGATGGGTAAACACTTCTTTTCGGACCATCTTCAGGGCTGTTTAATATACAAACTTCTACTGGTTGAAAATGCATTGCCACTGTATTTTCCATATAGAATTCAAAGAGATGACGAGTACAATTTCTCCTTCGAGATGAGGGTTCAGGCAGTGAGATACCTTGGAAAAATCCAGAGAACGAAGGGCAAGCTGAGCATCAGTACATTGTAGTTTTCGGTATATGCTCTTTTAAGAAAATGATAAAAATTATCCGGTGGTATAGATACATGCACTGTTGATAGTTAATAAGCTTTGTGTTATTCTCTGTAACAGAATATATGAAGATTATCTATTTGATGAGACGCAGTGGGTAATAAAGAGAATCTTTTGACATTCTGCAGAGCATAACTATTGATATCTATTAAAAGGGACTTGAGGTATCTTAGATATATTTCTGAGTGGGTTGAAGCGGTATATGTATCGGCCAGCTTTTCTTCTTTCATGGGATGAAAATATTCAAAATACTTGTTGTACTGATATCTGCACTAGTATGAAAAAAGTTCATTAGACCACATCAGTTCATTCTTGGTAGGATGCTTATCATTACTTATAAAAGCCAATAACCTGTTAGTTATTGCCAAAGTATTCCTGTTGTTCTGCTTCAGATAAAGACGTATAATTAACAATACGCTTAATTAATCGCTCTAAAAAGATTGCTATTAATTTCATTACTGTAGATTGAATATGCTTGTTGTATTTAGTCTTGTAATAGAATCAGACAAAGTAAAAGTACGATAAGACTGTGTATATCGTCATTCGGAATAAAGAAAAGAGAAAAAGGGAATAATAGCACAATCTACAGTCTTTTCAGAAAGTAAAGTCGCATTTTTGCAGTTTTTATAATATAATTTATATGAAAAAGCGACGTCTCTTTCTGGAAATAGTGTATTAAGAAGCTGAGCTATTTAAACTGAGTTGATTAGATTTGATCAAGGTGTAATAGATATTATATTTAAGCGCTGAATAGTAGCGTGGATACTACAGTGCTTACGTATATTTAAATTGAGCATTGTTGTAGTGCACATTGCAGTATCAATTAATAATTCATAAGAAATAGGGCTTGATTATGCAAATGCAGGACATCTTCTTATAATGCGCGCACTACATTTGTGAATGCATATTAAAGAAGCGATATAAGCTGTAGTGTGTCTGTGTAGTGAAATATGTTAAAGACTCCCATCGAGGTTAACCCAGTGCGAGTGGAAGTAAATATTCCTCTGCGGCATGCAGTCCGGTGTCCTAGAATACTATGACGTTTGTCTGTCACGCCAACGAACTTGGTTACTTTTGCGCGTAATTGTTCTGAACAAAACACCCTCTATTGTTGATCTTCTTCTTTTCATTCATTGTAATCAAAGCTATTTCAGTAAAGTGATCAATTTGTTTTCCTTTTTTGAGTCAAACTAATCTCTAATTGACTTAGATTCGGTTGTGACTAAATAATCATGATGGTTATTTGATGTTCCGATGATTTATGCAGTTAAAAAAATACTTGCCTTTTTTTTTCTTCTCTAAACTGTCTTCCTAATGGCTACTCCAATTCCTGATTCTGTTGCAATTTCTGGAAATCCACTTGTAAATTATATGAGTGAACAGAAAAGTAAGTGCTTATTTAAATATAACGTATAGCCATTTATTGTTAAAAAAGGCGTTAGTTTGGCATATGTAAAATATTTCTCAAAGAAAAAAGATGCTGTTAGTGCTTCGTTTAAAGCACTCAATTCAAAGGGATTTACAATAATTTATAAAACATCTGATAACTCAGAATATGAAGTTTTTATTGAATACAATACTCCAGTGACTAAAATAGAAGATGTCCCGCCTATTCTGGAATCCATGGCAATAGAAGCAGAGACTGCACTAGGAATGGTATAATCCTGACTTTTTGAAAAGAAAAAAGAAAAAACTGATCAAGTGAATTGAGTAGCCTGTGACAATGACAAGACTACCACCCTTAGAGGCAATCCAAGAAGCAGCTAAGCAAGGCCCTCCGAGTACTTCCCATGACGCTCAAAAGCCAAAAGGTGGAAAAAGAATAAGGACAAACGATGTATCACTCGCGCCTGTTGAAGAAGATGTATTTTACTCTGCAGATTTTCATTGGCAGATACTAATTATTCTTGGCCTTGGAGCAAATGCATTACTAGCCTATGCTTCAGATGAATTCTTGCTGAATAATTTCCCTCTGTTTATGTACAAATTGCGTGAATTTTTGACAGCTTCATTGATTAAAAAGATTTTCCAAGGGGCAATCATATGCCATTTAGCAGAAGGCTTATTTACCTTAGGCATTTGTTTGATCAGAGGATGGTATAGTCCATATAACACACTTCGATGGACAATAAGTTCAGCAGTGTTTGGTTTTGCATCCTTATCAAAACTTTTTGCTCACGGAGAAAAGCTGAATAACTACAAGAGACGTGCCAAAGATGAATAAAATGTTGGTTTTATTTGACAATATTTTCTGCAAAAAATAGTTTACGCATCTTTGGATGGTTTAGCCTTCAGCATTTCAGCTAGCGTTGTAGCATAAACGTTATGAGGGATGGATCTCCCAGCGATCCAGGATCCAACTGCTACCAAGGGCCCTAAAACGTGAGTTTGCATAACTGCTTCTTTCTATAAAACAGTCAGTTTTTAGGGATATCTCCCATAGGTTCTATAGATTACCTTTCCAAGGATGACCTTAATTAAGGCAAGGTCTTTACTTTTGTAAGGCTCCAACGTGTCATAAGATGCACCATTGATCAACTTTCTGATATTTGTCAGAGCAGCGAGACCTTGCATCCAAGCATAATGCCCTGTTTTAACATCTGTGTGGTCAATGACATCTCCGGCTGCAAATATATTTGGATATCTTTCGTCTAGAATTTGCATTGTAGGCTTTACTTTGATAAACCCATTGTCCTTGTTGATTGTGTCTGGAGACAGAGCCTTCATAAGCTCACTGTTGGGTGTCATACCGATGCACATAATCTGTTTTGAATAATGAGATTTCATAATATGTAAATACGACAAGACTTACAGCCAAGTCACCATGAATAGTATTGCCTCCCTTTGTTTGAATCTCAATAGGTTTTACTTCCAACGGGAACCCATTAGGAGGCAAGATCACACGATCACCAAGTACTTGCTTTATACCCGCTTTTTTCAAGATGTTATAAATCATTACATCGACGCTAACTTTGTATCTTGGTAAATATCGATTACGGGAATGTACAAGGGTAACATGCTTCTCTGGATAGTGCTCTTTAATTTCAGCTGCCAGCTCTATTTTCAAATAAGTACATGAATAAAAGTTTTTTTTTTTTTT